TTCCATGCCGTGGGGTCATGGACCTGGTTATGAGTTTAGTTTCGTGGCATAAATTTCTACAGATCTATCTATCCTGGTTCCTCGCTTGTAAGTGTTTGCTACAATTTGTCATGGATATTTTTCTTATTAGCTCTCATGGACTTAGCCTGGTTTCAGGTGTTTATAATCTTCATGTTTTGTGACATTGGTTTGTCCAGTGATTGAGGCTAGCTCTTTCTAAGGGACCCAACTGAATAGGTGTTTTCCTTTTTCCTTCACCTGAGGATGGAAACAGATCCAGTTTCCGAAACGTCGTGTTTTTATTTATCTTAAAAACCAGGACAATGGATAAAGTCCAAAATCCTAACATATCAGTGTGTTATACACCATCGTCAGAATCCTATAGTAACTACGTCATAACAGATTTTGGTAAATATGGACATATGAGATGTGTTATAACTGACCAGTTCACTTCGCCATTGGTAACTGTACAGCATTGCATTCCCAAAAAGCAGCAAATCACCTACAGTGGACAGAAGGCCGCCTCCCGCCCACTTGCACGAGTTGTCAACGTACGGCACATTCTTCAGGTTACCGCTTCCATTTCTACTGTAGTATCTGCAAGACACACAAAAATAACATTATGCTTCAATACTCTGGAGACCAGCTGTCACAAATAATGTAGAATATTTGAACTTAACTTCCTTACTTTAGAACAAGCGAAGTGCTGGGTCAGAGGTGAAGCTCCCAACTTCAAATTTAAGGATGTGATAATGCACTGCCTGGCCAGGGCTATCACAGATACAAGGGGGCAGTAACAGACATGTATGGAGTAATGATGGAATCACAAAGAAACTTGGAGAGAAACCTGCACCAATCCATCTGAAATCTTACGTGAAGTTAGCCAGCACTCAAACTGAGGTTCCTTAGTCACAAGCTAGTATCTAACCCCATGAACTGACACAGCCCATGTAGAGTACTGTTAAGTGGTTACTGGAACTGAAGCATACACTTTTCAGAATTTATTTTGAGGAAAATAATCATCCTTACATTACATAGTAAACCCTCGTTATAACAGACCCAGATACAAGGTATTTCAGATATAACAAACAAAATCTGGCTGTGTATAATTGTGAACTTTTAGAGTTGTTGTGACACTAAGAAGGTTTTGTAGTTAGAAAACCATTTAAAATAAAAAAAGAACCCCAATATAAAAACCTTTGTAATCACACTGTGTATCTCTATGTTTATTGCACATATTGGCTATTCATCTTATGGTGTACTTCCATGAATACCCCTTCACTCGCTTAGAATGGACATCAGCGATAAAACATACCCAGTACCCCTATTGGTCCATTATAATGAGGGCTCAATGTATTAGTATTAATTCAAACAGTCAACTTAGAACTTTGCTCCCTTCATTGGCAAGTGATTCAGTTCAGGTAGACACTGCATGAGGACCTTCTGATAGGAAGATCAGATGCCTCTGGTATCCCTCAACCATGGCTTCTCAGATCTCCAAACATTAATCCTATGATGTTATGTTAAAGATTATGACTATACAACACATACATCAACTGAACTTCATGACACACATTGCATCTGTGAAGCCATGCATCAATTGAACAAGGAACCTCGAAACAGATTTAGTACAAGATCCTACATCATTTAGATATTTTTTGGTATTATCAAAAGAGCTTGTATCAAGGCCCTAATTTACCATTTTTATTGATACCAATATAGTTTCTGCAGGGCTAATGGTCTGCTGAAAATAAACTTCACTTGTGTACCATGCAGAAATATCTTCAAGGGTGCGTCACAATGAGACAATGATGAATCCATTATGTCTTCAATGGAAATTCACTAGATTCCATTTTCAAAATACATGGGAACCAAAACTGCTATACCAGAGGTATCACTGAATACCCAGAGCTTCTCCTCCGCACAGTTGCCTAAGCAAAGTATGACATACCCTCAAAGATGTTTCAGACAGAAGATCCTGTACTTGTACAAGGGGTATTACAAGAGGTGTCTGCAACAAGACCCCACTACAACAAATGTTATGTTGTTACACACCGAGAGCGATTATATATCAGCGGCTCTGCCACATCCAGGTAGGTATGCTTCAAACCCATGACCTGGAAAAACTTCCTCATAACATCAGGAAACGGCTCACTGGCAGCTGCCTCCACCACTGCACTAACCAGCGTCCACCCATGAGTCGAATACAAGAATGATGTTCCTGCAACAATTTACCCAATACTTTGTTACGCACATCATTCTTCCGGAAGAAATCTTCATAGTGCTGCCGTTGAGAACCTCAAATCCCATAACAGAATTCTTGTTCACACTGCAGTTCATTTCCCAATACTTTACCTGGTTTGAACATGAGGTCATCATCTTGGAAAATCTTCAAAGCATCCTGAACAGTTGCAAACCTCTCCTTACTGTAGAACTCTTTATCTGCCTCAAACTGATCAGTGGAGCTGCTGTCCTTTCTGTCTGCTGCAGAATTTGCTTGCGTCTTCTGCAATGTACATTTTACAAATACAATTGTACTTCTCCACTGTTTCACTGCATTCTTTAGACTTGGTACAAAAAGTGAACACACAAAAGGGATGTCCCTTATCTTTCTGGCAACATTTCACATCCCAAATCATTGCCATGGATTTCATTACATCTGGAACAGGGGACACAAAGCAAATGTTGTTGAACTAATTTCATTTTCCACTACAATCCACGTTTTTCATACAGCTGAGTCACGTACTACATGTTCTGATGATGGCGTATAAGCCCAAAATCATGTAGAATCAGAACACTTGAAAATTCCTTTAATTGCCCATGAAGTACATAATTTTGTATGTACCCTGTAATGTGTATTAGATTACATTATATTACATATACAAAGGCCATCCAGAGAGCAAAGACCGTTTGGCAATTAAAAAAATAAACAAATAAAATTAAAAAATTGTATTTTACACCATTATTACAGACCTTAAATCATTTTTATACTGTATAGTTCCCATGATTCAGGCACTTGTCATGTCGTGTGATGAGTTTCTGTACTGCCTGCATCATTGAAATCTGCTAACAGTCCACTGAATCAGTGTTTAACTGTCTTCTACACTTCTTCATTGTTACCCATGTGTGTAGTGCCCAGAAACTGGCCCAACTGTGTGAATACGTGGAAATCACTTGAAGCCAGGTCTGGTCTGTAAGTAGGACAAAAAAAAAGTCCCAGACAAAATAAAAAAATAGCGCATACGTACAAGCGGTCTTTATTTTCTGGACAACTCTCGTACAAGTAAAATGTATAGTAATTTCAATTTTTAATTGCATAAACAACAGAGAGGTAGAAAGAGAGAGATGGAAAACAAGAAAGAATTAGGAAAATAGTAAACAAGACGTACGCACTGAGAGAGACATGTGGGAACTGACGCAGCCAGTGTTTACGTTCACCAAGCGGCATGACCACAAAGCCTATCATCACAGCATTATCTTCTGCCAGTCCAATACAGTTATCTTTACTTCACCTCAAGGATCATCTTAATATTATCTTCCATTCATCATCTACATATCCCTTGTGTTCTATACCTGTGACCATTTCAAATCATCATTTAGCACTTCCTATTGTCTCAGTGACAGTCTGGAAATGCTGACAATGACATATAACATCAAATAAAATGCAGAAAAGATCTGGATAGAAAACTTCAAGCGAAGAGACCTGGCAGACATACACATAAACAAAGAATATAATATTATGGGAGTTATATCAGTGCTGGCAGTTGTGAAAGGCAGATTTCTAGTCCTTGAAACAGAACAAGCT